TAATAATAATTATTATTTCTTTTTAATTATTTTTTCTTTATTCGTGATTGTCGTTATCTGCTGACAATAGGATGCTTTGCAAAATGGAAAGAGTTGATTGATCCCAATCTGATTCTCTACCCCGTCTTCTTTCTTTCTTGTTTGTTCAATTTCCTTTTCGTTTTTCTCCGCCACAGGTCACTAATTATCGGAAGTGCCAGTTAAGAAACGCTACTCATCTCTCTCTTTGTACAAACAAGTTCACGAGGTAATTACATTTGTTAGATGAAAAACCGAAAAACCGATTTGTAGCTGAAAAACTTTTTGCTTTATTTTTTTTTCTTGTATATATTTTAGTAGGTCTTTTATATAAACTGTGTTCAAGATTCTGTGATAGTAATATTTCTTTAAAATGACGTTACAAATAATGTAATGGGGACTTCATAAGCGACAGAATACATAATCATATATAGAGACAAATGAAAGAGAACTAGAGCTAATATTAAACAAAGACATGAGAAAATGTGTTTTGGGATACCGGCAACTGCGGGGCAGAATTCTATCGAAATTAAAACGGAAGCCGCTTAGTATAGTCACCATACGTGACGACATCACAAAGACCGGAAGTAGAATTAGAGAAGTTTTATAGCACACATATGTTACCGAATATGTGAACAACGTCGAAGTTTTGGAGAAAATGGAATCAAAAAGGACACTTCTACTTAACATCAGGAAGAGACAGTTGAAATTTCTAGGGCGCATAATGAGGAAAGAGGGCTTGGAAAATCTGATACTCACAGGACAGATTGAAGGCAAGAGGGACAGATAAAAAATAATGCATTATATACTTAGTGGGCTTGAGTAAATGAATGGTGGAGAAAGGTTTAGGAGAAATAGCAAAAAAAAAAAAAAAAACAAACGAAATTTATTAAGAGCTTCAAAGAAATTGTGGAGAGCCATGATCGCCTACGCCGTTATTTGACACAGAACATAAAGAAGAAAACTTTAACACCAAGACTCAGTGTTAATCATAAGAAATTATTATCGCCATGTGAGACCTAAATACTAAAAGAAGAGAGACAGTGAAATAATATAAAAATTATGTGAAAAAAGTACAAGTCTCTAAATACTATCTACGAGCGAAGACATATGAATGATGTATACGGACGGGACTTCTTTTTATAAGCGTTGATTCAGAGCCTGATTATGGCGACGCTGTGTCGTTTATAAAATCGGATATTCTGAAAGAAGGTGTCGGATAAGAAACTCATCTGGATTATTTTCCACCAAGCTGTGTTAACATGAATATAAGTAAATCCGGACCTTAAACTCATACCTGACCTCAAGTAGAACTCATAGGAAAATGGCCAGCTTCCTGTACCGCTCCAGTAAGTAACTAACTCTTCGTCATATCTTCTATCTTTGCAAGAGACAGATGAGGCTGAAATGGAGTACTGTTGTCATATTTGGGTGGAAGTTGCCTCACTTTCCAGTTTCGGTAGAGTCCAAAAGCATCTCCGATGAATGATGAACTATTTTTCACCCTCTCTCTCACAGGCGGAATGTGGCAAGCCCCTGACTGCTCTATCGTTACTTCCATGGAAAGTGCTCGGACGAACTACATTCCTTGGTTCCGCTAGTTCTAAGCTTCACGTCTAGGACTCGCCATGCCACCTACATTGTAGCAAATCATCCCCATTTCTCCCGTATTCCATCGGTGAGAAGTAAGTTCCACTCGAACAGATTCTTCCGGCGAACCTGTGGAACGGACTCCCAAGAGGTTGTTTCCCCGATCACTACAATCTTAACCAGTTCAAGTCTAGGATTAAACATTGTCTTCCCCCACCCTATCCGCATAAACAGTCTCTTGATATAATTCTCTATCTCGAGTGCCCCCGGGCGCTGTACAATCCCAGTGTAAAAAAAAAAAGTTTTAATTACTATTTTTTCATGCTTCGTCTAAGTGGATAATCAGGGCAGATGCGGGTTAAGAAGATCAATTAACATTTTCAGCATAGCACGAAGCTAACCAACGCCCCTGGGCAACACTCGAAACTTAATGCAAATCATTTTACACAGACCCAATAGTTGAATTTCCCAAACATCAGGCTGTCAATAGAGTTGCCAACAAATTAGTTTTGAAATACAGCGAAATATTTTGCTTATTAGAAATATTAAATTTGATCTATTAGCTTGAAATTAAAACTAAAATAAAAGCTCCAATAAAAATATTTTATTTAAAAATCATTTTAGGCCTTAAAGATATAGCTTTTCTTTGTAGGTACCTGTATATATATATATATATATATATATATATATATATATATATATATATATATATATATATATATTATCACTCACCGAGATCACGACGCAACCTTCAGGTGCTAAGTATAAACTGACCGTTACGTAATTTAGATTTTAATAAAAATGTCTGGTTATCGCTATGTCGGCACAGTTATATATTATACGAGGTTTACAGTTTTTAACTTTAAAAAAAGTATATTTGGCATTTAAAATAAACGGGATTTGTATATATATTTAAAAAAAATGTTTTAGAATTGTGAATATAAATTTTTATATTAAGCATAAAGGGAGATTATTTGTTCTTTTTCAAAACAAAACAAAAAAACAGAAACAGACTATAATCTATATTAAAACTAAATCTGGATCAACGTATTTAAGTAGATATTTATTTATATGCCTACATGTAACCATCAGTTAATTTCTCTTGTTTAATAAGTTTAATCAGAATGCGCGTTGCGGATTATTGTAAGGTATCTCTGGTAAATGACATTGTACAATGGTGATACACTCTGAAGAATGGGCGGCCGGGTCCGCATACGAAACTCTTGAATCGGGATGTTGAAGGTAACACAAATCAGCTAAAATGAAACACACACACACACACACACACACACATACAGACACAAATACATACACACACACGCACACACACACGCACATACACACACACGCATATATATAAGTAAAAGCTTGTCAATTAACTGATTGATGTTACCAAATTTTCCAAGCTCTCCTTCCTCATGAGGCCAAGACATTTCAGCTGTTTCTTCGTATAAGTGTATTTTTCGTTTCCATCTTCCTTAAGACTTCTTCGTTCTTTAAGCGCTTCATCCATGGCGTTCTCTCGTCTTGGGTAAGACGTTAAGCTACATCCGCGTCCTGGGTAAGACGCTAAACTACGTCCAGCAGCAAGGCCTCTGATCAGGGTATTTTGAGGAACGTGGTAGCACCTCTTAATTGCTTGTGTTCCCAGGTCCACCCTGACCCGGGGTGGTAGCACCTATTAGGGTCCCAGCTATGGGCAAATAGTTAACTATTACCAGCAATACTTTTTCGAAAAAAATTATTACCAGCAATACAGTTTTGAAGGAAATATATTACCAGAAACAGATTTTTGACAAAAAAAAAAAAATATTACCAGCAATAAAAAATTTGTCGGCATTAAATAACCCATTGAGGTTGATATGCCGTAAAACAAAATAAACCAAACCAAACCATAGCATTTTCATCATCCTTCTGTGGAACTTGGACAATATACCCCGGTGGACGAAATAAAAAGTTCGGTTCGAAATTCCAATCAAAAGTACAGTGGGTGAAACGTCGTGAATATGGCAACAAAGATGAGGGCAACAGACCGAACAATGTAAATAGTGTAAATAATTACAATACCTCATCTCAGAAATAAGACAGATCCTGAAGAAGGCCGGCCAAAACGTCGGAATATGACAATAAAGATGAGGACAACAGCCCGAACAATGTAAATAGTGTAAATAATCACAATAACTTACCTCATAAATATAGACAGATTCTGAAGAAGGCTGGAGCGTACAACGGTCGAAATGTCGTGAATATGGCAATAAAGATGAAGACAACAGTCCGAACAATGTAAATAGTGTAAATAATCACAATAACTTACCTCAGAAATATAGACAGATTCTGAAGAAGGCTGGTGCGTACAACGGTCGAAATGTCGTGAATATGGCAATAAAGATGAAGACAACAGTCCGAACAATGTAAATAGTGTAAATAATCACAATAACTTACCTCAGAAATATAGACAGATTCTGAAGAAGGCTGGAGCGTACAGCGGTCGAAATGTCGTGAATATGGCAATAAAGATGAAGACAACAGTCCGAACAATATAAATAGTGTAAATAATCACAATAACTTACCTCAGAAATATAGACAGATTCTGAAGAAGGCTGGAGCGTACAACGGTCGAAATGTCGTGAATATGGCAATAAAGATGAAGACAACAGTCTGAACAATATAAATAGTGTAAATAATCACAATAACTTACCTCAGAAATATAGACAGATTCTGAAGAAGGCTGGAGCGTACAGCGGTCGAAATGTCGTGAATATGGCAATAAAGATGAAGACAACAGTCCGAACAATGTAAATAGTGCAAATAATTATAATATCTCATCTCAGAAACATAGACAGATATCTATTTTAATCCATTCTGATCAGTAACATAAGAACTGGATTTTTGTCATCATCCGATGAAGTTGAGTTTTAGCTCTTAACGTTTTTTTTTTCAAATTGTATAACTGCATTGTCGCATTTTATTTACTTATTTTTTGTACTATATTCAATGACGTTTAGATGAAACTTCTTAACATTTAAAAAAATCTATTAGCTCTTTGTCCAATCTTATTTTGTATTTCAGTGAAAGTGTTCGTGCTAACGTCTTGAAATATCAGACAGATATTCTGCTTCGCTTTTCTTCAAGATTAAGCAGAATTAAAAGAAAATTTAACAATATTTGAAAATGAAATCTATGAAATACAGGCAAAAGTTTACTTGAAAATTGTGAATAATAACCATTGGAAAATATCCGAAAAAATACCACGACGGCGGAAGAGAATATTGTCGCTCAATGTTAAAAAGCTCAAGAAAATGTCATAAAAGATAAGACCTGTGAGGGATGCCATCTTTGTATCTTTTCGTTTTTATAATCTCGTTGAGGGCGAGAATCTCACGAATATCGTGATGGCGGCAGGATTCGTCCTAGTAATACGAAGTTGAATTCATCAAGTAATGCTTTCATTTGTTCGGTCTATTTATTTATTCTGTTGTTTAGTTGTTCTTATCTCGTTCCATGTAAGAATGGCCAGTATCACTTCCGGTTGCCCGTCAGCTTAACATGAAAAGAATTGTTTTCGTGATCATATAAAAGCGTCGCAATAGTCTCTGCTATTTCATATATATACAAATATTACGGGGAAAAAAAAGGTAATCATATACACATAGTTTTAAATTCTATATCTTAAAGCGTTCTTTCTAAAAATTATGCCTGAAGCTTTTCAAAGCGGCGCTTAAGAGCGTAAATATACATTTGCGCGTGTGGTCGTTGGAAATTCGCACACACACACATCATACTAGGGCTGACTGATTTACATGCTTTTGTTTTAAGGCTTATCAGCCGTTTGTGGATTATTTGAAACCGAAACAAATTTCGGATTTGTAGAATGTTGCTTACAAAAGCCGGTGTTCCCAAGAGGTTCCCAATCGAATTATTAACTGCGTTCAGATCGAACTTAACTTCGGTGATCGAACGAGAACCAGCTTTTTCAGTGTGATTTGGCCGCATGCGATTGTCAAAATGTAAATATTTTAAACACAATTTTATGGCTTCTACTACAGATAAAATATATTGTTGGTGATTTTACTATAAAATGTATTTTTGGCAATTTTACTATAAAATGTATTGTTAGTAATTTTACTATAAATATGTATTGTTGGTAATTTTACTATAAATATATATTTTTGGTAATTTTACTATAAATAGGTAGTGTTGATAATTTTACTATAAATATGTATTTTTTAAAAAGTTTACTATAAATATGTATTTTTAAAACTTTATTATAAATATGCACTATTGGTGATTTTACTATAAATATGTATTCTTGATAATTTTACTATAAATATGTATTGTTGGTAATTTTACTATAAATACGTAGTGCTGGCAATTTTACTATAAATATGTATTATTAGCAATTTTACTTTCATGGCGTCTTGTTGTTTTGAGTGATTTCATTATTTACCCATATCTGGGACCCTAACTGGTGCTGCCACCCCTCATTTTAGGGAATAGGTTTGATAATAAAACAATTACATGAAATAGGTTTGAAGATTGAAAATTAGTTTAAACAAGCAAGAAATTCAGTCAAATATTGTGGACTGAGTACCAGAATTCTCATCACGCATGCGCGCGCATGTTCATGCAGAGTTTTTTTTTCTCTTATTTCAACTAATAATTGCAAATATGCTCAAAGGAAACTTCACCTGGGGTGACAGTTATATAAAGATTATCCATTATGCCTGTTAGTAGGAAGGTCGAAATAATAGTGGACATAATGAGAAAAAGTGGGAAAGTTTTTCAGACAACACGTTTCGCCTCTTCATGGCTGGCGTCTTCAGGTCGGAATGAGAGGCAAACAGTATGTGTAAGGAAAGTGATTTCGAATTTTGGGGAAGTGGTAATAAATGTCCTTATCAGATGTTACGGCCATAAAATATTTTTTTCGTATTGAAGCCGTTGACATCTGGTGGATTTGAAATCAGCACACAACAAATAAATTTCTCACTATTTAAATTATTCGGACTATTGTCCTCATCTTTGTCGTCATATTTATTACGACGTTTCGGCCGTTGTACGCTCCGCCCTTCTTCAAGGACACATGGCACAGTGGATAAAGGCGTTGGTTAGATCCAGTGGCAGGACCCAAAGAGTGTGAGTTCAATACCCGGTCGGTTAAGGCAGTGGAGAAATTGGAGAGAGTAATTAACAGGAGATAACTGGTAACCGACAACCATTAAACATGGCACGTGGAACTAGAACAGTCTACTCCAGTGAACGAAATAAAGGGTTCAGTTCGACATTCCAACAACCTGAAGAAGGCCGGAGCGTACAACGGCCGAAACGTTGCAATAAATGTAGCGGTAAAGATGTGAACAATAGTTCGAATAATGTAAACAGTGTACATCATACCTCATCTCAGAAATATAAACAGAAATAAATTTCTGTTACATATATATATATATATATATATATATATATAAATATTAAGACAATTTTATGTTTATACGTTCTTTTTATAGATACAAATATTTAAGTAAATGCTCTGTTTATAATAAGCATAAAATGTCTTAAAATAATTGTCGGACTTTGTCCATTTCATAATGTGTGACGTCATTTGTTTATATTTGGATACGCATCGAGCAGATATGAATGTACGAGAGAAAATTATGGAGAATTGTAGTTTAAAAACAGTAAAATCGACCATGTTAACTGAAACGCTCCTCTGTTGCCCAATCGGTAAAAGCACGTCAGGCTATATGACTGTTTTGTATAGGATACAAGTTTGCTTCCTGTCGGCGTATGCATATTTTCTATGAAAATTTCTCGGATATTCAAGCCAGCAAATGTCGTTAATACTGTTTATTATAAACATAGCATGTACTTAAATATTTGTATCTTAATAAAAAACGTATATACATAAAAAATGTCTTAAAACAATTGTCGGACTTTGTCCATTTCATAATATATATATATATATATATATATATATATATATATATATATATATATGTGTGTGTGTGTGTGTGTGTGTGTGTGTGTGTATTAATGTGGATAAATCAAATAACTAGATATTAGCAACCATATATACGTGCGTTAGCGCGCATACACAGGTAAGCGACTAAATATTTAACCAATTTATTATAAGGTGTAAACAAAACAGGGCTCAATGTAGTTGGAAATATATTATTAATAAATATATATATACCTACGTTCGAAGTGCAACTTAAAGTTTCGTTGTTCTGCCAACTCATCAGGCGGGAATTATTATTTTTGAATTGAAAAATTACTGGGTCGCATGAAAGAACGCTAAATTAAACTCAGATTCAAAGCTCAAATTTAGTATAAACTTAATATACTATTGTGGGGTAAATACAGGATGTAGAGTGTAGGTAGGGGGCTATTGTAAAAGAAGGGAGAAAAGGCAACGTTAAAGTTTAAAAAAAGAATATATATATATATATATATATATATTATAATTATTTTTTTTATATATGATTCCTTCGCTACATAAGAGTTCTCAAGTTTCAAAAACGAGAGCCGAAACACTCAATATAATTATTAAAATTAAATTGAATTAAAGTAACAAGCCTTGTTTCATCCTCAAGGGAAAATTTAGGAATAACCAATTTTGAGATTTACGTATCGTTATAAGCGTGTTCATTCGTTACTATGGAAACGGCTGGGGTGACCATTTTTATCCATATATCACTCACCTTCAGGGAGAGGTCAAGCTAAGGTAGGGTGGGGTGTCCATTTCAAAGCGAATTATGTCTTCCTTGTATGCGCATCGTCTGTTCATTCACAGAGGAAGATAGATTTTGGCACCATAGAATGTTGTTAAGTGTCTGGATAATTTTGTTTATTTTATTTGTTTATTTATTTTCAACGGGCTGTTTCATATATAAATGCGTCGCACTGAACTACAATTTGTTTTTTTGACGACTTCATAAAGGGTTCTTCACTTTAATGACTGGGTTAAGCTTTTTATCCCTTTGTTAAACTATGAAATTTGATTTTTTCTTATGCTAATTATATATATATATATATATATATATATATATAATTAGGAAATCAGCCGATTCCGCTATCTCGGTTTCGACCTTTCGGTATCTTTAAGCGATTTCGGTCAATTGATTTCTTCACGTTTTATTTTTTTTAAATATTTTATATATTTATTTTTTAAACAATGATAGAAAGATCTGCAACATTTGTCAACAAGAAAAATTAGCTATAATAACATTTCCAGACCAAAAAACCTTTTGAACCAAAGGACGGAAATTATGACCCGTGTATACATAGTAAAAAGTTCTTTTTGAGTTCATATGAAGTGGGATGAAAAGAAAGTATATATATTTCATTTAATTCCCCACCGATACATTTCCAATACACTTGATTTAGGTCTCATTTAAATACACTTAGTGACCTACCAAACTCCATCCGCAACATACTCGTTGACAATTTCAAATGTAAAACCACATGTAAAAAGAGACTAAAATAATGGAAGCATTTTTAATAAAAAAGAAAAAGCCAACATTCAACAGCATCTACTATTAACACTGCCACAATGTGCTGACCGTGTTTGAAAAATAAAACATTTCTGTCACTCAAGATACATACATAAAAAAATACTCACATTCATTTAAAAGTAAAAATAAAACATCTTTGATGATGGCTAAAAGAATAGCCGAAAGCGTTCGGACATACAAAACATTTGGATAATTTCTACATAATTTATGTCCAGAAAAGAAAAAAAAAAAAAAAAAAGAACACAAGAAAAATTAAAACAAGACAAGAGGAAAAACTATTTTTAGCCGACGCGTTTCATCTTCTGGAGGACTTTGTCAACAAAAAAGCAAGGATTTATTTTGCTGCACGTGTTTATATACAAGAGCAAGGATGTCGTTAGTTTATCAAGGCTTTTGAATCTGAGAAAGTTCATGAATATTTATCAGGTCAGTCACAACATGTGGAGGAGGACACAAAGTGCCAAAATTCAAAGTTTTGTAAGACAAAAAGTATGCGGGTAATATTCAAGAAATCTATCTATCTATCTATCTATCTATCTATCTATCTATCTATCTATCTATCTCTCTCTCTCTCTCTCTCTCTCTATATATATATATATATATATATATATCAGTGGTAAATATACACATACATATGCAAAATATATAAATATATATACATAGGTGCATACACATACATGTATATTTTTTGAATAAAAATTCTGTTTTCTTTTTGAATTTGTAGGTCTGATGAATTGGATCGTATTTACGATTCAAATGGAATAAATTATGACCATGGAATATTAGTGTTTAAGCCTTTTTATTATATATATATATATATATATATATATTAATATTACTCGCTTACTATCGGTGTTATTATGTATGAGCACAATTATTATTATATCATACATGAGATTGACCGTAGAGACTTATGAGATCAGTGCACTTTCAGTGTATTTCTTTTCTTAATTTCTTAATTTCTCAGCCCTTTTCTTTTGTATGGTGAACTATCTTCTTTTTTATGCTATTTATATTAAGACTCATCTTTGTTGTCATCACAATGTTTTGGCTTTCATCAGGTGCTTGCTGATCAGAGTAATCTTCGTGCTATTTTTAGTATGCCATTTATTTAACGTACAGGGGTAGAGTTTTCTCATTCCTCTCTGTCTCAGGGTGTCTTATTCTTATTTAGTACTGCTGAGTTATTGCTCGCCTTGTTTCGACTGATTCTTAGTTTGCTCTACCTGGCCCAGGGATTGAACTTACAATTACTGCGTTACAACATTCACAAACCAGTACTTTAATCCACTAAGCCATTGTTACTTTTCATTGGTGTGTTTATTTAGAAATAAATACGTTAAAATTCGCCTTCCTCTCTGCCAAGCACCAATAGCTTACGGGTAGAATTTCGATCCCGGCTTGAAGCAATCGGATGTCTAACCACACTGATGAGCTGTGATGCAACGAAACAGTTTGCTTGTGGATGGCTATATATATATATATATATATATATATATATATATATATATATATATATATGTGTTATTTTTATACGTACACAACTTTAAGTAAAGTTGGCTCTCTGTGCCGCGCCAGGAAATTTTTCTCCCCGGAATCGATACTTCAAATATAAAAATCAACCATTCGCCCTTGCATGGGGTATTGCTGCCATATATGGTCTGGTGCACCTTCTGCTTGACAAGATCCAAAGGCGGATATGTAATATAATTGACCCTGATCTGGCATCTCGTCTACAGTCGCTCTCTCACAGACGTGCCGTCGCCTCTCTCTGTCTTTTCTACAAATACTTTCATGGTAATTGCTCCGATGAGCTGCTTTCACTGGTTCCCAGACTTCATGAATTCAAGCGCTCTACGAGGCTGGCATCCCGCTCCCACCCTTACACCGTAGAAACTTTTAAATGTAGCCATCTCTTCTACTCCAATAGCTTCATACCTCGCACCTCTCGCCTGTGGAACTCCCTTCCCAATTACTGTTTCCCCGAGAGCTATAATCTCCAACTATTCAAATGTAATGTCAATCGACGCCTCCAGTTACCTTGATCTATCCACTAGCCTTCTCCTCGCCCTTTCTTCTATCACTCCTATCTGCTCGTGCTCCAAGTCTTCTGCAACCCCCTGCATCCTAGTGGCTTCACGCCTTGCTCGAGGCGTAATGCTTAAAAAAAAAAGCTCTGTTTATAATAAAGTGTATTAACTACATTTACCGGCTTGAATGTCCGAAATATTTTGTAGAAAATATGTGCCCTCGACAGGAACCGAACCTGTATCCAACACAGATCCGTCATTTGACTTGAGGTGCTATACCATTTAGCTACAGAGGAAGCGCCTGGTTAGCAAAAATCAAATTACTGTTTTTAAGCAGAAAATTTCTCATGATTTCTCTCAAACGATCGTATCTTTTCCAACCGTTATATTAAAATAATTGTCAGACTTAGTCCATTTCATAATATATATATATATATATATATATATATATATATATATATATATGGACAGTGACCTTTCTTTTAAACATTTTTCGATAAATATGAAGGACAATACATTACCCGCATACTTTTTTTATTTAGTATTTCCAGCGTTCTTACATTTTTCCGTTTGGTGTGTGTGAGCGAATATAAAAACTGTCCATATAACCAATTGTCCTAAGTTCTTTCAGCCACTTCTTTAGTCATTTCAAGGAGGTTGTTTTTGGCGTTGGTAGTATATTTTTGACTGTGTAAAATATATTATTTATAAATTCTAGTAGGAGTGTTAATTACGAGCCATCGTGTGTTGGGCATAGCTGAAATTTGAGTGGGCGACTTTCTATTTTCTAAAGTCTTTCAGTACTCTTTACCGTTGCTAAACAAAATAAGATTGGTGGTGGGGGAGAGTTGCTTGATATACAGGGACGCTCTTATAACGATGTGTTTTCGGAAATTTGATTTACAAAGGGCTCTAGTGCTATCGACCAGTATCTTTCTTCAGGGTTCTTGTGGATTATGGGTTGATAGATGATTTTTTTATAGAGCACGGCTCTGATAAGTGACATGTGATGTGTCTATTCAAGGAGGTGGTCGTAAGTCCAATATAGGTACCATATTTGACGGCTTATAAGGCGCACTATTTTTTACTAAAAATATCTTTTAAAATTCCCCAGCGTCTTATATTCCATATGTAGGTTTACAATATAGTCGACCGAAATTATCTACCTGGCGACTCCTATTAGCTTAGACCTTAGAGTAACTTTTATATACCTATTGTCGTTATTTAAAAGGCCATTATGCAGATTAAAAGTGTTATCATTGATAATATTCATTATATTAATTTCATCACGTTTAATATTAGTACTTTGTTTCACTAAAATTACATGCAATAAATTCAAATTATATATTTGTAAAATATATTTGTTTGCGACAACTTTCGGTTGCATTTGTATAAATACAATCAGAATTTTTATATCTTAATTATTCCACTAAGACGTTTACAAGACGCAGGTTGTACAGATCATATAAAGGTAAATTTTTGACTGAATTTTAATGATAACTGGACTGTTTTGCTCAATTGTAATAAGTGCTCGATTTTTATTTTGTTTTCTTACCTTTGGATATAATAAAGTTTTTATAGGCTCGTGTTCCTTTTTTCATATTATTTTTCGTTTAATTGTAATCATGGCTTGTTTAACCAAAATAAGACCTCATAAATATAGCCTAAGCTGTACTAATTTTACTAATTACTAATTTTTTCTTGATTTGCCCTGAAATTGAGGTGCGTCTTATACACCCGTCTGTCTTATATGTCGTCAAGTACAGTAACTGATTTATGACAAGAAAAACAGTTTTGTACTAGGCAATGAAATTAATACATTATATTGGTCATCGGAAGTTTAGATTTAATTGGGTTATTTTGATTATTAATATTACACGTTTTTCTGGAACTATAGCAGAAATATGGTGTTTAATGATTCTTCGTATAGCGAATTTGTCCCGCCTATAATTATTGTGCATAGAAATTCACAGATGATAAAGAAAAGGAATATGTGGAAAGCCATGATCTGTTGAAATAACATGGCATTAAAAAATGGTTTTCGCCTCGAATCTTTATTGCAAATAATAATACCTTTGTTAGATAATTCAGTGTATGTCGTTTTGAGAATCTTCATTTTTTAAAGCCAAAGTTAATGACAGAAATATATTTAGCTCGAAAGAGGCATTTTAATTTTAATCGTGGAGATTTGACAGTTGCAGACGGCCAAATAAAATAAAATAAAATAAAATAAATAAATCAACCCTGTAAAATAAAATAAAAAAAACGGAAATAAAGGAAATAAAAAGGAGAGATTAAAAATTGATTGCCAATCAATCTAGTTTAAATTTTGAATGTTGGTTACAATGGAGTTGGAAGAAGAAGAAGAAGAGAAAATGAGAGTTCTCGAAGAAGAGATGACTTGTCGCTCGAAGCGGATTCTTGAATAATGATGGTTCATAGAGCCAGAGAATATGTGGATAAAAACTTAAGTCAAACGAGCAATATAAAAAGGCATGTACATTTTTAGATGCTAACAAAAAAAAAAAAAAAAAAAAAAAAAAAGAAAGAAAGAAAGGCATGGAAGAATGGTAAACTAAGAATAAATATTTAGAAAACCTAAGAAAGAATATTTAGCAATAATGATCATAATAATAAACATTACAAGAAATATACGTTCCAACATTTTATTATGCAACACCCGAGTCGAACCTGTTCAACGACAATCAATATGTACACCTGCGAAACGGCGGTAATTAATTATGTCACCCAGTCGTCGATCCTCGAGTTCTTTCAGACCGCCGTGGTTACTATTTAGCTGACTCTTCACTCGTTAGCGCGTCACTCATTTTATCGCTGGTATCGTGATGATGGGCACAGTTCCACTCGACTTGGCTGGCATTCGTCTTCTTCACGACCATTCACTCATCTGCAAGGTTGCGTTTTTGATCTAAGAGGGTGAGAATGTCATTGATGAAGCAAACTTGAAGTGAAGACGGTTCAGCAGTTTGGGAGCTAAACACACACACACACACACACACACACACACACACACACACACACACACACACACACACACACAAAGAATCCTTTGGAATAAAGAATTAACTCAGGTTAAAAATGCAACAACGATTTGGTTTATATATTAATTGTTATATACAGCGTTTTTAATCCTTCCCACTTGTTGTTATAAACAAATGACACTAGGATCCCCTTTGGAATCTGCAACTTGTTTTAGTAGTAAATTAAATTTCTGGTCTTCATGTCCTGTACAAGGCCTTTTTGTCAAGAGGTCTTGGCGAACGGTATGAATTCTAGTAGTATTAGTGTGGAAACTCTCAGCTTATTCAAATTTCCTCGATTGATTTGCAAAATTGAACGAAATGTATAGTTTGTAAATCTGGACAAAAATGTTAGCGATAACTTCAACAATACTAAATACTGTGAGGATTTCAAAACTTGTCAGCTTGTTGCACAACATTCTAGTAATAATGACAACAGTCAAATGGCCTTTATACTTGATCTTATTAATTAATCTTATATGAGACTGGTATAAGAGCCTGGGATTTTGTCCACTTGTAATTCCACGAGTCGATCCTGTTCAACGGCAACCAATAATGTAGCCCACACACCTGCGTTGGTCTACAAGTTCCTTCAACCCACAGCGGTTACCATCTAGCTAACTCCTCATCCGTTAACGTGTGGCTCGTTTGTCGCTAGCGTCGTGATGCTGAACAAGGTCTCGCTCGGCTTAGCCTGTGTCTGTCTGTTCACAACCATTTACTCCTCTGCCACGTTGTTTTTTGATCTCTTAGGGTGAGAAAATCGCCGATGAAGCAAAGTGAAGTGAAGACGTGTCGACAGCTGGGGGCTACACAAAAAATCCTTTGGAATAAAGAATTAAATCGATTTGGTTTGGCTTGGTTTGTTTTACGGCATATCAACACCTCAATGGGTTATTTAATGCCGACAAGATTTTTATTGCTGGTAATATTTTTTATCTATCTATCTATCTATCTATCTATCTATCTATCTCAGTATACATTTGTTTGGTTTGTTTTACGGCATATCAACCTCAATGGATTATTTAATGCGGACAGGTTTTTTTATTGCTGGTAATATTTTTATCTATCTATCTATCTATCTATCTATCTATCTATCTATCTATCTATCTATTGCAGTATATATTTGTTTGGTTTGGTTTGTTTAACCGCATATCAACCTCAATGGGTTATTTAACGTCGACAAGATTTTTATTGCTGGTAATATTTTTTCCTTTAAGAAGGTATTACCGGTAATACTTTTTTCTTAAAAATAATTGCTGGTAATAATCATTTTCTTCAAAAATTTATTGCTGGTAATAATTTTTTACAACAGAACCCTTTATTTCGCTCGCTGGTATAGACTATTCTAGTTCCACATGCCAATGGATATCAGTTATCTCCTGTTAGTTCCTCTCTCCAAGTTCTCCACTGCCTTAACCAGGTATTGGACTCACACTCTTTGGGTCCTGTCACTGGATCTAACTAACGCCTTTATCCACTGTGCCATGTATCTCTTTTTGTACCTGTGTGATAAGTAGCCAGTCAACTTGCTTACTTCATCCTGTGTATGACGATAAACTGCACCCGCGTCCTGGGTAAGACGATAAGCTACATCCAGCAGCAAGGCCTCTGGTCAGGAGGTTTTGAGGAGCGTGGAACCACTCTTAATTGCTGGTGTTACCAGGTCCACCCTGACCCGGGGTGGTAGCACCTGTTAGGGTCCCAGCTATGGGCAAATAGTTAACACCCAAACTTGTGTAAAAATTGGTTTTAATACCAGAAATACTTTGTAATAAAAAAAAATTATTACCAGCAATAATTTTTGAAGCGAAAATTATTATCAGCAATACTTTGAAAAATACCAGCAATACAAACAATACAGTTATAGATTCTTTGGAAAAAAATATGACCAGCTATAGATTTCTTCAAGGAAAAATATTCCTAGAAATAGATTTTTGAAGAAAAACATTACCAGCAATAAAAATTTTGTCGGTATTAAATAACCCATTGAGGTTGATATGCCGTGAAACAAAACAAACCAAACCAATATATACTGAGATAGATAGATAAAAAAATATTACCAGCAACAAAAAATCTTATCGGCATTAAATAACTCATTGAGGTGTTGATATGCCGTAAAACAAACCAAACCAAACCAATATATACTGAGATAGATAGATAAAAAAAATATTACCAGCAACAAAAATCTTATCGGCATTAAATAACTCATTGAGGTGTTGATATGCCGTAAAACAAACCAAACCAAACCAATATATACTGAGATAGATAGATAAAAAAATATTACCAGCAACAAAAATCTTATCGGCATTAAATAACTCATTGAGGTGTTGATATGCCGTAAAACAAACCAAACCAAACCAATATATACTGAGATAGATAGATAGATAGATAAAAAAAAATATTACCAGCAATAAAAATCTTGTTGGCATTAAATAACCCATTGAGGTGTTATGCCGTAAAACAAACCAAACCAAACCAAACCAAACCAATATATACTGAGAAAGATAGATAAATAAAAAAAATATTACCAGCAATAAAAATCTTGGCATTAAATAACCCATTGAGGTGTTGATATGCCGCAAAACAAACCAAACCAAACCAACATATACTGAGATAGATAGATAAAAAAATATTACCAGCAATAAAAATCTTGTTGGCATTAAATAACCCATTGAGGTGTTGATATGCCATAAAACAAACCAAACCAAACCAAACCAGGGCGCGAATTAACTCGGATTAAAAATGTAATAACTTTGTTTATATATGATTTGTATACAACGATTTGAACGTTTCCCACTTGTTACAATCAAATGACACTGGGATCCCCTTTGGAGTCTGCAACTTGTTCTTGTATTAACTTAAATTTTTAAGTTTTGGTCTTCATCTCCGGCACAAGGTCTTTGGTCAGGAGGTCTCGGCGAACGATGAGGATTCCGGTGTGTCTCTCTCTGACTCTCTTCTTGTTGCGTCTCCCGTTCTTCTGTTATCTCCACTGTTTCTGAGTCCGGCAGGGGTAGGTTTGACTAGGGTCTGGGTTCAGTTGTCTTCTACCCTAAGTATCAACCTTTTCTAAATTTCCATATATAAAAAGTCATTCAAGCATGTTTGGTTAAATAATTTAAACGTATTATGTCTATTTATTTTAGCTTTTATCCTTTCAAGACCACGAATTAATTTCTTGGTGAATGTAGAACATTGATCAAGAAAAATACCAAAATTTTCTTTCAAATAATTTTATTTTCCCAAATACTTTCAATTTCATCTGAGGCCATCTTCAAGAGGTTAAAATATCCGAGGATGTGTATACAGTAGCTCCATAAATTCAAAATATTTTCCCCTGTTCGTCTATAGCGTTTCAAATTCAAAATTTTCTTTCAGTTATGTAAGGGAGCTAACTTTTGTAATTAAAAAAAGATTATTTAATTATAATAATCTAATTTAGTATTTTTATATAAAACTTTGCTGCTAAAAACATTTAAGAACTTTGTTGCCATACTCATAATTGACTTTATTTATTTTGGGCCATAATTTTCTTGTATTCCAGAATTTTAAGTTTTTGTTGAATTTCTGATATATTTTCGACTAATAACTGCCTAAACTGTGAATGTGGACATGAGTATCCCTTTAAATGTTCTGAGATTGAACTATGCTCATTCAATTGAAACGTAAGCCTTTTCGTCAACGTCGTCGTTGTAAAACCAACATAAGTAATAAATTTTTTTATCATAGATACACTCTCCCAAAGGACATTTAAAATGATATGCAATGTTGGTCTTTTATAAGATGCTAGTTGATGGAGAAAAATTGTTTTGGACTGCGTTGGTTGTATTAATTTTAATGTATTAAATAATTATATTTAGTATAATATATAATTAATTTTATTTTTTTACATGGATCAGTGGGGGTTATATTAGTGTTTATGAGTCTTTACTCAGGTGGTTTTTCAAATTTGGTGTTGTCCAGCCCCATTTTTGAAAGTGGTCAGAGGGATCACGCTATCTTTTAATATCTACTCTCTTTACACTTCGCCTAATACCATCTCTCTATATAGGCGATGCTAATCTCTCTCTATTCTATTTCTTCTTCCTTCTTGTTATGGTCCAAGGTTAGGACCATGGAAGAACAACACGAAACACAACAGTAGAAATAACAAAGAATATATTACACAAGAAATAATACAAGAAGTGAAAGGGTTAGTAAGACTGTTCGACTGGTTTGGCGTGATTGCTATCAGCTCGACTCGATTCAATACCGCCCCAATAACGTTCGTCTCTCTTGAGAGGCGTAGTATATATAGCGTTCGGAAGGGTTCATTCTGTTGGTCTAGGTAGGCACCACTTCTCTTCTTTCTCCCACTTTCTTTTCCTTCTCTTCCGTTTCCCATTTACTCAACAGCCAACCCCAGCTCGTCTTCCTGGCTGGAGTGATAAATCCAGTTTCCAGATGGCACAGCAAAGACAAAAGGGATTTTCCGTTATTAGTCCTTATCTATCAGCATGCCCCATGCTGGTATCCTCTCGACTGACCAGACTACTCAAGAATTGGAGAAACAAAAATCTATTTCTACTCTCCTTAGAATATTTATTTTTTCTCCATCTTATGCATTTTTTACGATCGATTAGACCATACAGCTTTCTTGCCCATAGTCATTTCAAAATAGTAATTAATTTTTTTCTTACCACTTGAATCCAAGGGAATGCGAATTAATGTTTGGATATAAAATTTTCTTTGGACGAATGTTGCGAAATTATAATGACGAACGTGTGGGGATTATTTTCTTCTGGGTGATTGATTCAAAACAGATATTTTTTTTTTCTTTGTCCAGGGGAATCGTGAATGTCATTTCGCCGACAACCCGGATTTCTTTATCGACAACATATGTTTTTATTTTATCTGACATTTTCGCAGATACCTTGATGATCTTTTTCTTATCAGTGGGATGTGATAATTGCTACTATTTTTTATTTTTTTTTACAATGATGGTACAAGAGATACTTGAGGTAGACGGTTACAGGGTAAAAGGCACAGTTCATCTGGATATGTTTAGAAGATAACGGTTAACTCAAGGCATGAACATGTTGAGAATGTAGTGATCGGGGAAGAAATCTTTTGGAAATCGGTTCCCCAAGGCAGCGGTTTGTGAAAAGAAGCTGCTTAAGTGGAACTTGCATCTCATTATGGGAATGCGAAGGGAATGGGGGTGGTTCGCTACAATAGGCGTGGCATGGCGTGTCTTAGTCGTGAAAGTTAGGGCTGGCGGAACTTCATCTGAACACTCTCCGTGGAAATAGCGTCAGAGCGGCGAGAGGATTGCGATGTGTCGTCCGGTAGAAAGAGGTTGCAGGGTGGAAAATAATTAGTCACCTACATGGAAACGGAGAGTTTTTTTGGACTCTATCAAGAATGGGAAGTGAAAACAGGCCATTTCTTGCCCATATATGGTAGCAGTACTCCATCTTCGGCCTGATGTGGCTCTTGTAAACATAGAGGATAGAATCTAGTCAGTTACTTACTGGAGTGGTACAGGGAGCTGGGCATTTTTTTACGAGTTTCACTTGAGGTCAGGTGTAAGTTTAAGGTCCGGATTTGCTTATATTCATGGGAGACAGGCACAAATTAACACGGGTTGGTGGAAAATAATCCAGAGGATGAGTTTTCTTCTCCGCCTCTTTCTTTCAAAATATTCCATTTTATAACCCTGAGCCAGACACAGCGTCTCCATAATCAGGCTCAGAATAGCAGAAGGAGCGATACGGGAACCGACCATTTTTTCCCAGCATCTATAGCAATGAATCGTATGTTCGAGTTACATTTGAGGTCTAAGTCCCAATAGGCATTCAAGGCAGATGGCCTCCCTGAAAGAACATCTCTTTATCGCGATTGGTGAAAGTTCTCGGTCCGATCGGTGATGTTGAAAGGTCACTAGTTTGTTTTTAAAGCATTGAATTCGGCCAAACGCCAGTTACATTTTTATATCGAAACGTTAAAAATACAGGGAGTCTAAGCTTTAAATTTAAATTTTGATATCTATATCTAGATGTTTAATTTAGCGAATCTCATTCAGTTATTTTACGCCTTGTTTTTAATTTTATCGCGATTGATTTTAATTGATTGATTGATTTCTTTTCTACGGTTTATCACTCTTTACCATAAAATATTTTAAATTGTAAGAATTTTTATTTTAAATAATAATGATTTCGTCATACAAGTCTTACTAATTAATCCATAACTGGGGCGAGGAGAGGAAGTCGATGCATATAATTCCCAAGGGTATTTGCGCGTAAGTGAATATAACGAACCCAACGGCAATTGGAACTCGGTTCTTCGATTAACAATTCCGAGACGTTATTCATTACACCACCCGCACACCCATACTTGGTATTCCCAAGTGTTCATCCATCTAGATACTGACCAGACTCAATCTTGCAAAAATTCGGTGATCGGACGGAACCTGGTGTTTCAACATTATATGGCCGTAAGAGCGCTCCATTTTAATTTTAATTTAATTTTAATTTAATTTTAACTTTATTATTGATTGCTTTCATATTTCATGTTGACTGCTATTGTTACGTTTACTTGAATGTATGTATAAATTCGAAATTTTTAATTTGATTATTATTTATTTAGTTTAATTTAAATTTGAAACTGATCCATGATTTTAATTATCCTGATATTAATAATTTTCTGTTAATTGTATTTCTCTATCCATCACCTCTCTCTCCCCCTCTCCCTCTCTCTCCTTATCTCCCCTCTCTCTCTCTCTCTCTCTATATATATATATATATATATATATATATAAAAAGTGAACATTGAAGTCAACACTCAGAGGCGACAGACTGTTTCATGCTAAACGTAATCATCAGGCCAGATGATCAGGTGGCGTGATGATTGTGTTTAGCATGAAACAGTCTGTCGCCTTTGAGTGTTGACAATAATGTTCACTTTTATATTTACATACGCTCTATCTCTGATATTGAGCACTTTATCCCATAAATATAGCATACCTTAAAACTATATATATAATAAAAATATTGTTTTAATATATGCTATATTTGTGGGTTAGGACAGAGCGTATGTATATATAAAAGTGGATATTGAGGTCAAAACCCAGTGGCGATAGTCTGTTCCACGCTTAAACGCAATCTTCAGTCCATGTACATTGTATATTGGCTCGATGCTAGTCAGTGGTGCATTATGGGTAGGTCTGTTGTATTATTCGAACGGTTATTCGGTGAACAGTAACGATTATGCTACAATTTATACTGGGGGATAATGAGTGGAAATAAATGTGGATCCGAATGCAGTATTCTGTCTATTTTATGGTGTTGTTTGATAACTTGATTATTGATTGCTTTGTTATTTTTGTTGTTGACTGCTATTATTATGTTTACTTGTGTTATATTCCGTGCTAATATGAATATATACTTGAAAAACAAGGTAGATAAAATAAGTAGAGGTTTATTGCAAAAACCAGTACAATAAGAATAAAGGTAACAGTTATGCACAAGGTCGTCGCAAGTCAATCCAGTAGTGAGTGCTACTATTGGAAGGTCAGTAGTTCTCGCGTAAGTCTGAGTCGTACTCAACAGATCCCAGTTAGTAATATTTACCCCCCCCCCCAGGTTAGGATGTGGCACAAGGCTGAATTTAATGTAGGGCAATCCGAGCCCGTAGGCTCGACCAAAAATTCCCCGTAAACACCGTATAAACGGGTTCGGGTCTGTCTACCTCCCCGGACGAGACTCTACCCTTCGGTATAGACACGTCCGGGTTCCTCTCTGCCCGAAGACAGAGAGTTCGACAGCAGCTAAGAGCTGAGTAACAGATCCCAACTAGTCGATATTTACCAGCCTCCCCACGAGGTAGGATATGGCACAAGGCCGAATTTAATGTGGGGCAATTTGGTTCACTGTATGATGCAGGACAATTTTGCCAGATTCCATTTTACAGCTTCATAAGCCTCTTATTCGTCATTTGTCAATGAATATCGCTATCACATCTGGTCTGGTGCTTCTGTTATGTGTCTAGAGATTCTTCACAAAATTTAAAGAAGAATCTGCAATGTTATCGGTCCTGACCTGGCATTTTCTGCTTCAGTCATTTTCCCACCCTGTAGCTTTCATTTGCCTTTTCTTTATATATTTTCATGGTAATTGTTATGTTAAGCTCTCCCCATGCCCTGGTACCACGACTTTATGAATTTAAGCACAGTATTAAATTAGTTCAGTTAGGTTTGATCATTTGAGACGGTTAGATGTAACCGTAAGTTCTATGCTAGCAGATTCTTCTCTCGTAGTTACCGCGCTACTAACAAAATATTCATTGAAATGGTTAATTATCTTTGGTTGACTTTTACTTCTTTTTTCTTGTTAAGTATTTATTTGCGGTTGGAATTAAATACTGTTTTATTTTAACACTGAAGTCTTGAGTTATACTTAATTATTAACGGCCACCGTAAATTACAAAAGACATATATAGAGATAGATAGATAGATAGATGAGGAGAGCGAGAGAGATATTTAAGAGGCCTGTTAATGAAATATGACGAATAAAAAGACAATAAAATGATAACAATATTGGTAATAAGAGTGATATATATATATATATATATATATATATATATATATATACATTGGCCCTTGAAAAATTAATTTCAGTTGAGCTCTCTGGGGAAGACGTGTGGGTTTGTAAACAGTGACTATTATGGCTGATATAGCGAGACTCTTCGGCAAAAAGCGAATTGAGTCACTGTCGGTCACTGTGTGTGTTTATTTAAAAATAAATACGCTAAAATTGACCTTCATCCCTGCCGTGCGCCGACTGCTTAGTAGTAGAATCTCTGACTGACACCAATTCAGTCGGGTTTCGATCCTGGCTAGAGGCAACCGGATGTCTAGCCACACTGATGAGCTGCAAAACAGTCTGTCTGTGGATGACTGTATGCTTTAATCGAAGAGGAAGATTTTAGATATTAAAACGACATTTGCATGATCTTTCGTTTTAATCATTAATATATATATATATATATATATATATATATATATATATATATATATATATATATATATATATATATATATATGTATAATATGTTTATATCAAAATGTAGAATGTGTTTTGAAAATAAAACATTTTATAATACTAAATACATACATACATACATACAACAATCTATTTCCAGTTAACAGTTAATATATTTCTTCCTTGAAAATGGCTAAATGTATAGCCGAAAGTACCCGGAAAAAATGGGACATGTTTTGTATAATTTATCTACTGAACAGAAAAAATATAAGATCATACGAGAAATAATATAAAAAAAGTTTAATCAAAACACCTTGTCTCTCATATTTAATGAAGCTTGCATATATATATATATATATATATATATATATATATATAAGGAGAAAGAGTGAGAGAAAGAAAGAAAGA